AGGGAGGGAGGGAGGGAGAGAGAGAGAGAGAGAGAGAGAGAGAGAGAGAGAGAGATATGATTTATATGTATACGTACTTTTTAATCATTTTTCAAGACGTCATATTGCACATTTACTTCAAAAATTAACCAAACAAAATTTTATAATTTATATTGACATATTTTTAAAGTTTACAAGAAGTGTTTTATTTAAATCAATAAAATTAAACTGCATGAATTAAATTATTGCATTAATGCATTAACACCGTTTATAAATAAACCTTTATCTCAATGTATGTGCGTTTTTGTGCTATTAGATTAATTTAGTAACCTCAAGATTGAATAGCTCGTAGATAAGATTCTGTCATGATAATTGGCAAGCATTTAGTAACATGCTTGATTATTCTCATTTGATTTAGACTGCATATATTACAGCGCACGTACGTTTTTTTCAGAATATGTTCTCACCATTCATAACTGAACGTATAATGGCCTCTGGGTACTTTAAGAATCAGTATGTGTCATTGAGGAATGCTGAGACTGGCTTAACTGAAAGTGATTGACAACCGTTGCAAAAGGATTCTCTTGCTTTGAAAGTGTAACACGGCAAATATATTATTTGCTAACATCTGTTGTATTTATAACTTGTATTATAACAACTTGTTAACTAAATAAGAAAAATTTAAATAAAAATCCTATGTACAATTCGTTAAATCGTGATATTATAAAATTAATAATAGAAATATAAAATTAAATTATAACAATATAAAATTAAAGGAATCGATATAGGCAAGATAAATTTTACGTATTACTATTGCAAACTCGTATTAAAAAATCGAGGACGAGGTTTTATGAAACATAAAAGTAAGCGTAGACCTTGGAGTTCTACCGCTTTCCTCTCGAATACAATAAATTTTTTTTAATGCAGATAATGATTCTACCGTAAAAATGTGTTAATTATTAACACATTATTGATAAACTCACGAGTTTGCTTAGATACGTTTCTTAGAAGACGAATGTAAGCTATTGCGTTTTCAACATTTTTTGTATGAGCAACAAAAATGAGAAAAAAATTTTTTAATATTTTAAAAAGTTATTATGTGTCACATTATAAGCATCCTAAAATAAATCTAAAGTAAAATAACAAAATAAATTAAAGATGCACAAATAAATTTGCAAATCAAAATTTAATTTTTTAACAAGAGCGTGGTTAATTACATAATCATGAATATATAAATAAAATAGTATTTTAATTTTAAATCTTTTACAGAATAAATTAAGAATGAAATAATTATACATGCATGAAAACAAGAGAATCCGAAGTTGCCTCGTTCTTGGTCACGTAAAATTTTTATCAATCTAAAAATCTCTTTTAAAAGACACATTTTAAACTGATCGCAATTGCGTGACTCTTTAATTGTCGTCTTTGATTCATGATCCGAGTTCAACTGTCATTCTTCGCCAGAGTTTTAATTTGGCTTCTACTTTTTTCCCCCTATCTAATCTTTCTCATTTTCCACTTCTATCTTGTAATTATTTACTAATATATTTACTAATATATTTGCAATATATTTATCCATTTCAATATTTCATTTTGTATAAATATAAATGTTGAAATGAGTAAAGTAAATACAAAAAAATTCATTTTCAATACATATAAAGATTATTTATGTATTCATAGTTGGAAGAACAAATCTGATAAAGAATTATTATTAATTATAATAAAAAAATGTCATCTAAATTTTAAAATTTTGAGTATAAATTACGAATATAAATTCGTACATATATTTTTATTAATATAAGAAACAATACTCAATTACTATGTTTCCTTCAGAATTATAAAGATTTTTATTGATTGCATCTATTGTAGTAATAGAAAGATTGCAGTATAACAGGAGAGTTATCTCGTTTATATTAGATTCTCCCCTTTTCACATCGAGTTTAGCACGAGTCTACGAACTAAATGACTAATATCGCTGCAAACTGTGACGTGGTATTCTGATTATTACTACGATATAAATACACAGAAATTTTTCCTGTTTTACTTCCTAAGGAAGGAATTACGTTTGCAACGTTCAAACTCGGGAAAACCACAAGCAAATTCATCATATGCAATACGGTTACATTATTACACTATTGGATTATACAAGTTTTATTTATTAATCATGCGACTTTAATTACACTATAGCAATAGAATGACCTCCAATATTTAACGATCTGATGGAATACCTGCAAGACAGATACGGGATTATTACGTAAAGAACATTGTAGCTACAAGATTTGCATCTTATCGTCTATAACAATTTTAATGTTAGGGCGTTCTCAAAACAATAATGGTAAACGTTATAATAAAATATTTAATATAGTTTAAGGGTTATAACAAAAGAGATCTAATCTTACGCAAATAAAAATATTAAAAGTTATGTTTGAACGTTTATTTTGCTTCTTCTATTACCTTTACCTTCTATTAAACTTAATCCATTAAGTAAATAAAAAAAGTAAAAGATAATAAAATAATTTTTCTTAAAAAAAGATAAAATATCAAATAGAGATCGAATTAAAAACAAATGAATTTTCAAATAAAAGATTACTCAAGAAAAGCTAATGGAATACCTCGAATAATATAATCTTATTTAAATGTTCCTAAAGGTAAATCATAAAAAAAATATGTAATATACGAGTATCAATTACATTTTGTTGCGCTAGTCAATCATTTAATCATTTTCATACATAATCATCGGTAATTTTCTGACGTAGAAGAATCTAATAGTAAAAAATGAATTCAACGAAAGTAATTTAGGAAAATGGAGATTCAATCTGGAAGTTCCGTTCATTCTTCTGACAATGAGTCTACGCATTCTTCACCGGTAAACCAGATATACGTCACGCGCGTGACGCGCGTACGCGACGCATACTCATAATTAACGGAATATGTCATTTCATGCTACTCGTATTTCGTATATTTTTACGCATATTCCTCTATCTGAATCATACTTCTTTTCTAATCGTATTTTCCCACTGGCATCTCAATACGTATACTGTATACGTATATTGTATACGTTAATTATTTGATATAATCTATGTAAAAATAAAACACAATTACGGATTGTATTAACACATAATGTAAAAATAGAATTTATTTATTCAATGGATTCAAATTATGCGGATTTAAATTACGTACACGCCGATCTCAGACTTTCGTTAACAAATTCAAGATGTATTGCGAAGTCATCACGTTGTTCTAAAAACTTTTGAGACGCCAAATAAAACTTTATGTAACAATTTTTTAATATCTTCTTATATATCATATTAAATGCGTATCTTTCATATATTGTGCTCAAAATAATCAAAGTATAACCGGTATAATTGTAATATAATGATCGTAGTATGTTTTATTTCGCAAATTTATTTACAGCAAATTAATATTCGCGGTTATGTGGTCAATAATAATTCTTCGCAATCACATACATTTCTCCTGCGGCATAAAATATAAAATAAATAAATAATTAGAAAAAAGACATCTTTGTGAAATGTGTCTGAAAGAAAAAGTTACCTAACAAAACAATAATTAGTTTCAAGATTGCTTAATCTTTTTATTCGCTTTGTGAAATCATAACATTGAACTAATCGAATCGTAATTCGTAATGCCACGTGCGATTGATTGATTTGAATTTTTCAATGTTTCACTTCGGTCGATGAATATTTAAGAATTATCAACTTGTCCTTGCAACAAGTATACAGATAATTTAAAATAATCATGGAAATAACAAGAACAAAATCGATGTCATAATCGATTTAAACTATGTCTTATAATGTAAAAATAATTAATATTTGTATTTTAATATTCGCCAAAATATAGTATTATTATTATATTATTACTAAATGCAATAAAACAAAGAAATAAAACTTTTGTTATAATTGAAAATTATTATTAAAATTTTACCAGGGTTGTAATTTAACAGAAAATAAGTACAATAATATTACGTTGTATATAATATATTAATAATAAAGATTACACATAATTTAGACGTAATTCTCATGTTGGAAAAAAAAGTCTAGTCGTACCATAAAATGGAAGAATTTAATACTTACAACTTCTTACAGCTTATTAAGATGCTATGAGAAATATGAGCGATAATCATTTAATATAATTTATCCGCAAAAATACAATTATAGATGTATTAGCTTAATGTAAGACTAATTAAGTTTATTTCTGTTTAATGAATTAAAATTATATACGGATTTAATTTACGCCGATCTCAGACTTTCAAGCAAATCAAAGGCTATTCGCGGAAATTAAGTAGACGATCTAGAAAAAAGTTTTAAATCATGCACGAGTGATCCAAGAAAACACTGACGGGAAGACAGACCAACGGTCGCTAGAGTGGCGCAGAGATAATATGTAGTGGTATCCGTATGGGGGACGTCGAACACAATTCAGAGTCCTCGTGGTCGGTTCTATATAAGAGTACTAGACATATCAACCGGAGAAGGCATTCTCTCTTAGTAGCCCGCCGATGACCAAACGTTAAGGTAGCGCTGTGTACAAAAACCGCGTCACACTAAGTTGGGTGCCTGAGTTGGGTGCCGTGAAGAAGAAGAGTCAGGAAATAACCGGAATAACCGGAAAGAAGGAATCAAGTGTGAAAAAAGAAAACTACGAGAGACAATAAGAGGATCGGAAAAAATTAACAAGAAGTGCGAGTTTTCAGAAAGGAATTGCCGAGTGGAGTCAAGTGTTCGGTCAAAGAAAGGAAAAACGGAGTATATGTACGAGTGAAAGGGAACCAGAATTGTCGTATTTCGACAGTCGCGTTGGCAGTGTCAGCAACAACGCAAAAGTGTTAGCTCTCCCTGAAATTGCTCGTTGCCGGAGACAAATAGAAAGCCAAGTAGAACAGAGTGATAAAAGAGGGATAGAAAAAGAGAAAGGTGAGTGAATGTCGATGTGATGAGCAAAGTGTAAATCGCGGAAACTATTTTTTAATACAATATATTAATGAATTACGCGGTAAACTAATGAAAAATAACTTTTATCATTATAACATAATATCGTAATATAGTATAATAGATAATAAGTGCAAGCGCTTACTTAAAAATTGAACGCTTACTTGAAATTTTCTTACAAAAGATTTAAAATATTTAATTCTAATATTCAAAGCAAATTAAAATCAAACATTGCTAAGAGCACAATTAAATTTTATAAAAATGTGTTCTAATCTTTTTGCACGATTTTATTTTTATGTTACTAAAATTTTCCAAAATATGATTTTAAAAAAGAGGCCATATATTTTTATTTAGATCTTTTGTATAATATTCATAAAATATACCGCATAATTCGAATAAAAATGCATATGACGGCGTTTTACTACATGCAGAACGATTTATAAATGCATATTGATATATTTTAAAGGGTAAAGATATAAAATAAGTAAAAATATATAATTATATAAACTGTGCATATCATTTTTTACTTAAACGAAATATTCGTCTTTTACTTTATACACTAAAAATACGTGTTATATAGGTGTATAACCAGAGATTAAAAATGATATAAAAAAATATTCAATAATGTACAAATATTTTTCGATTTTATATAATAATCGAAATTAAAACCAATTCGTATAAATACTGATATAATGTAATACTCGTATACAAAATTATTCGATAATATCGCTATACTGATTGTCAAGTTTGTCGAAAACAGATCTTGTAAAATCTTGCTGCAAACTTTGTTAACAAGGATACACATTTAATATAGAATTTGATTCATCAAATGACAATAATGTGCGTTATTCATGTGTGCACTTAGCACGAGATATAAATAATGTTTTTGCATCAAAAAAGTTAATAATGAGCATATAAAGTACTTAAAAAATGGTGTCGCCAGAACATGGGTAAAGATATCTACTTAATTAGTGCCTGAATAGCTTCAAATTAGAATGTGGCGATTGCATTGCCACTACCCCGAATAATTAGCTTGCGTAAAACATAAAATTTAGTTGGCGAAAGACAAAGTAATGAATACGGATAGACGTTACACAGAAGAATCAGTTTTAAGTCGCGAGAGAGAAAAAGAAAAAAAAGATCAATATCGCGAGAAAACAGAGACGATTAGGCCTTAGAGATACCGGTCGGGAATAACGTCGCAAGTCATACGTTTAAAATGCCAATTATAAACAAGACAACAAAGCAAGGTTAGAGGAAACAGATCTAGCGATCGCACGGATAACGAGAAGCCGACTTGTCTGGCTGTCTTCGACGCGAGTAGACATGTGCTCTTCGTGTGACAAAAATTAATAATCGGAACTTAGTCTCGACTCGGATCTAAGATTTAACTACCTGTTCAATTCAACCGATCTCGATAATCCAGCCACGCACGAATACATAGCTTTTACATACATATCATTTAATAATCTGCTCCGCGCAAAGGAGTACACTAAAAAAATATTCTCGGAATCAAATGCTTAATGTAAATCAGGGTTGGAAAAGTTACTTTGTAAAAGTAATTAGTTACAGTTACAGTTTTTGTCTCTCAAAAAGTAACTAGTTATCGTTACAAGTTACCGACTCGGAAAAGTAACATGTTACAGTTACTCAAAAAGAAACGAATCGTTACTTTTTAGTTACTTTTAATAGAACATTAGCATTATAAAAAAAGACTGGGTTACATTTACATAAGTATTGCATTATAACGTTGGGTACGCTAAGTGCGTACCCAACGTTATAATGCATGAATTTACCCTTATATTGCATGAATTTACCCTTATTTTTAGTCTAACAAACGGTAAAAGATAAAAATGATACGATAGCGATGCTAGCGTGTTCCCCAAGCAATTATATGACACTCATCTATGACCAATACGCATATTTATTAAAAGTTTTTAAAACACCGATATAGAAGTCTGTATGACGCGTTTATAATGACAATTGTATACCAGTATACAATTGCTAACAAAATTATTTCGGTATTCAGTTCATTTGTTGAAACAATTTCATTACAAAAAAATTTATGTGAATTTCTTTGTATAAGGTATTAGACTCTTTACAATTGACATCAACCTAACAACCTTCATTGTAATTTTCATTGTAATATACAAAAAATGTTAGAATAATCCTACATTTTAATCATATTTTTAAAATTTTTAATAAAAATTTAAACTGTTACAAATTTATTTAAGAAAGCATATATATTTTTTGTCCATGTCTCAGATTTGTCTATGTTTACGCAAATACGATTATTTGAATCGAGACGTTATTAGAGCGAGAAAACGCGTTTGAGCAAGTTTCAGCGTTCGCATTAACAAATTTCAACATTGCCACGTACTATGTTAAGCATTAGTGTATAATCGATTTCGGTTACATTACATACGATTTAATCTATCACTATAACTATAAAATTAAAAAATGCACTTGGAATTTGAATGACAGATAGTACTAAAAAAAAATTGAAAAAAATCAATATAAATAAAAAATAAATTTTGCCAGATTAAAAAAAAAATTATTTTTGATTTACCAAAATTATCATAATTACTTAATGTTAACAATAATTATCATTGGAATATTCACAGAATAATAATAAGTTTAATAATTAATCATAATTTCATCATTTAAATATGAGTTTAATAATTATAATTTAATAATCAAGACTAGATTATTAATTTTGACAAAATCACATTTTTAACTATTGGAATAATAACATCTCGGTATATCATGATTAAATTTTGTTATATCCTTCGCTTTTACATCCAATAATTGCGTATTATTAATAGCATTGAATATGTTATAAGTGCAACATGAATATTGTACGCAATGTGTGCGTGAACAACCTTCCTCTATATGTGAATTTCTTTTTCCTTTTATCGATTCAAGGCGAGAACATTATAGAATTCCGATGACTCCTTTTTTTCCTTCCGCCGGCAACATTATCGTGACATATTTCCACGTGTAAAACATCTCGTCTCGTATCTCAGACTCTTCTACACGCATCAATGCGCTTACACTGCGATATATTTAAAGAATGTAAACTATGCATCTCTTTGTCAAAGGTGTGTTAATAACGTCTGTCTTCTAAATACTTTACCACTGTTGCAATCGTTTATACGGGACCATTCGATTAATCCTTAACGAGATCAATAATTGATTGAGCATAATACAAATTGTTTAATAAGATAGAAAAAATCAAACAAGTATTATTGATATTTCTTACAGCAATAATTGAAAAAAAAATTATCATAATTGCTCTTGAATTAATAATTTAAAGATTACAATAACTATTAAATTATCTATTTAAAAAATCAGTTTTATCAATAATTTGAACGAATTATTAGCTTCAAATCTTCGAGATCATTGCGTCCGTGTATGTAACATACAGAAGTAAAAGTTCTTTTTCATTTTCTAATTTCTAATAATGCAATTTTATATAATATATAGTAACTTAATATATTATTTTATATAATATAGTAACTTATCATACTATTCCTACTATTATTTTCAAGATATTACTTAAAATGTTCAATAAAATTAATATTGAGTAATAAAACTAATATTGAGTTTCAATAAAAAAATAATTTATTTTTAAAATATTTTATCTCAGACGGGCATGTATACCCATATTTCTTCATACCTGCATTTCTTATCATAAAATGCAAACTTTTGTTTTTATATATAGAATAAAAAGAATTTATATAAAGTTATTAATTGAACTATATGAAACTATCAACTTTAAAAAATTCCAAACAAGATTTTACCCTTTAAAATATTGATATATGTTTATAAATTATTAATAAATAATGAATTATTAATTGTAACTTAAATTTTAGATTTTTGCTATCCATACGAAGCAAGAAGTTGCAATTTTTTCAAGCATTTGAAAATGGGTACTTTGCAGCAGCAATCGATTTTAAAAGGTCAGCAGACTGAAAGGAATCGGGAGAAAGATTTAGTACACGAACTATTCAGTCGTGCAGCAAAAGCTCATCCAAGTCGAACCGCGATATATTACGAAGGTAAGGTTTTGCTTCTCGATATAAACTATAATAGAATCCACGTCAAGAAAGTGGCTCAAGTGGAAAGTAGTCAAGAAAGTAGAATATGATTTCTGACAATTTCATTAACTAGTTCCGTTAAATAATATCTACATAGTAATGCAAACATTATATTAAAAGAAAATTTATATGTAAATTTGGTATAGATGATGCCGGCCAGGAATACATGCTGTCTTTTAAAGAATTGGATGTCATCACCAATCAGTTGGCACGAGCTTTACAAAAATACGAAAAATTTGAAACAACTTCTCAATCGCTAATAGCTGTCTGTATGAAACCTTCGCATCATCTTCCAACTGTATTACTTAGTATACTGAAAGCAGGGATGGCTTATCTGCCTTTGGATGCGGAATTTCCGATGTCTAGAGTGAAACATATTCTTGAGGAAGCGCAACCATTAATAGTGTTAGTAGAGAAAGAAGGTAAATGTCCTTTTTTTTATACGCAAATGTATAAAAAAATATATTATTAAAAGTTTAAGATTATTAGTCAATGTTTAAATTTAATTTTATGTAATTCTTAATTTTATTTTTTAATTATTTGTCTATTTATAAAAATCATATATAAGAGTATTTAAAGATATAATTACAGAAATAAATTAACGAAATTATTAATTAAAGCCGATGCTATCAACTTATACGCATTCGTCGTTAAAAGCGTACAATACATGATAAAAAATTCGATAAGCGTGAGATATATTGTAATTTTTCTTCGTTATAATTATGTAATTTTTCGCGCAAGGCCGTATATGTATATATAGATTCATTGCAACGTTATTTTTACTAAAGAGAAAATTAACGGCACTACTTTGAAAGCTATCAGTGGATCATTTTAAAACGATTTGCAGAAAGAGAGAGAGAGAGAGAGAGAGAGAACGCGGATAGATTTTATTATTCCTTTAACTATAAATAGGCGCGAAAGAACCTTGAGTTTTTACGTTTCATTTTGATTGGATATAATTAAAGATAATCAAACTGATATTTCTTCCGCTTCTACTTATTCTTTCAATGTTGAATAATTAAAAGTAACAAAATTATAAGTAAATTAAGTAAGTGAATTAAAAATATTAATCGAAAGAATATACAATGTTGCTGTCAGCCGATTTATCAATCTATGAGGGAGCTCTGGTCGTGACACATGAACAACTTTTGAAAGAAGCTAGACAAGAACAAGAAGATGCATTACAAGCTAAGGAGATCTCGAATCAACTTGCCATTGTTCTTTATACTTCCGGAAGTACAGGAGTTCCCAAAGGTAATAATGCATTTTGTGCCAATTATACAACGTAAAAATTTAACACATATGCGTATTTATTTTTTGTCAAAGTACCGCTATTCGTGAATTTTTAAAATATTGCAAATCTCGATTTTCAATACTACGTACGGTAAAAATTGCGTTTCTGTTATAGGATATTAATCCTAAGAGGATATTAATCCTAGTTTCAAACGTAAAAAAATACAAGACAAAAATAGAAAATTATTGCCTATTATGTAATCCAGTTTGTCAAAAAATAAGAATCTGAAAGAGCATAATCGTTTGTAATGAACACATTTATCTTTTTAAAGGCGTACTTATACCGCATGCCACTCTACTGAATCGTCTACAATGGCAATGGAGAGAACTTCCATACACCGATGATGAAGAACAATGTGTTTTCAAAACTTCCCTTACTTTCGTCGACAGTGTTCCCGAAATTTGGGGACCTCTTCTACAAAACCGTACTCTAATAGTTGTGCCGAAAAGCGTGACTAAAGATCCGGAAAAGTTCATACCGCTTTTAGAAAAGCATCAGGTACAAACTCACTAATTTATCGTGTATAATTATAACAAAAGTATTTTAAATATGTAAAAAGGCTTTAATAATTTAGGGAAACAGATTATTATAAATAAGAAATAAGCATTTTCAATTCATTTTAAGTAAATAATTACAAGAAATCAAGGGGTTTTGATATTGTATAATAAAACCAATCTAACTTTTGTGTATGGACTCGATAAGTACATTTTGCAAACGTATTATAAAATACAAAAATTCAATTCAATTTATTTTGTTCAATTCTCTCAATTATAAACAAATAATATAATTTAATTTATGAGGGAAAAACCATCTATGTTTCAGATACAACGCTTGGTCCTCGTGCCATCGTTGCTGCGTTCATTGCTCATGTATTTAAGTTTGCGAGTGAGTATATAAAACCATGCGTATAATTTATCGCTTTTACAAAACAGGCAAACCTGTCATTATTGCGTAAATTTCTTGGGAATTTTAATCTTGATTTTATGCAACACCATACGAAAGGTTAAAAACAACGTGCTTTTCCTTTTCGTCCCTGATTAAGTTAAATGAGTTAAAATAAGTAGTTTTCAATATCTGAATGATAATAATTCACTGTGCATGAAATATTATCGATGATGAGGATATTAAGATGTACTGATGTTCGTGGCTTTCTCCTTTAGTTGCGAAAAACTTAAATATCCTTGTATTTTTAACATTTCAACATCATTTCGGAAATATATTCAACAAATTTATTCACGCTTATGCACATTACAGAACATATATGCGAAGCAATATACTTGTACAAATAAGAACCAATACGTTCACGATTCGGTGACTCCCAGATCAATGTATCGATCAATTGAGAAATTCTTTCATAAATCAATATAAATTGCGTTCGTAACACTTGCGTTGCGTAAATTACGCAACATAAATTACAAACGTTCAGCTAAATGTTTGATTAGTAAAAATCATGTTGCCGAAGTATCTATTAAAAATAATCGATAATAAATTATGCTAATTATTCTAAGCGGCTTAGAAAATTTTTACGGCATTATTCGTTATCTTTACAATCCATCTTTCTTCGCGCAATTTTATATTGAAATGTAGCGTGAATATAATTTCTAATAATTCAAGACACACTGTCATAATTTGTACGAGAAGAATGTTCGATTCGCAACATTTTGAATTTAATATACGATTTGTCGCCATTTTGTTATATTAAAATGTAACGTCAACATAATTTTTAATAACTCGAGATACCGTTATAATTTGTACGATAAGAATGTTCGACTCGCACCTTGAATTTAATGTACGGTTTGTCACTTTGCACAGGATAATAACAACATTCTCGATCGCTTGAAACTTTGGATCTGTTCCGGGGAAACCTTGTCGGTCGCACTGGCCGATCAATTTTTCGCCACGTTTGACAATAAGGGCAAAATATTAGCTAATTTCTACGGTAGCACGGAAGTCATGGGCGATGTTACGTATTACCTATTGAACAAACGGACACAATTACAAGGGATGGAGAAAGTGCCAATCGGTAAGAATAATTCTCAATCGCTAACACGAAAGATTTAAGCTAAGGAAACACTCCCGTTCTAATAATAAAATTTAATGAAAAAACAAAATAATGTTGTGAAAAGTAATGAAAAAATGAGATAATTGATAAAACACAATGCAACAAAGTTTGTCAACATTTATTAATTAACTTTAATTATAAGTAAATAATTAAAAGTGTCTATTTCAAAAAAGTTTATTTCTAATGGCTAAACAAATTAACATTGACATGGTTTGCTGTGTCTTTGTTACAGGAAAACCGATCGACAACTGCATAATTTATCTTGTAAACAAGGACATGCGACTGGTTCCCCAAGGGGAAATTGGAGAGTTGATCGTGGCTGGAAGAAACCTTGCCGCGGGTTATTTACGCGGACGAGATACACATAAATTTTTAGACAATCCTCACGCCATCGATCCAGGTGAGAAAAATAAAATAACGCAACAAATCGAATGTCACGTCTTTCGAACTTGAAGAATTCACCATCCTATAAATTCTCCTTTTCGTAATGTAGATTTCTCTTACGAGCAAGAAGTGCAATAAATCGAAGCGTCGTGACTTTCTTAATGTATAAAATTATAATTTCGTTATGCAATTAACGTTTGAAAATATGCTGATTTGTCTGCAGAATATCCGAGAATCTTTCGTACGGGCGATTACGCTAAAATTGTCAAAGAGTCGATAATTTTCGAAGGACGAGTGGATTCGCAGATCAAGATCAGGGGTCATCGTGTCGATCTCACGGAAGTCGAAAAAGTGATCGCCAGAATACCCGATATCGATAAAGTCGTAGTTCTTTGTCACAAACCCGGCGAACTATCACAGGTAAATATTTCAACATACAATATATAAATGTATAAAATAAAATGTACTTGTATCAAAATTTACAAAAAAATTTTTATAAAATCAACTCTAAATATTTATAAACTTATGTTATCTTAGAGCTAATTAACACACACATCCATCTTTCTAATCGCTTTAAATATAAAATCAATCTTTAATTTTTGATTGCGCTCGTTATGTAACAAATAATCGAATTTATCAATTGAATACCAATGCTTCATAAATCGAGTATCTACTGTTAAACAAACTATTCCACTATACAGTTTCATAACTTTTAAAAACGTTTATTTGTTGGTAACTTATCCGTATTTATATTCTAAAAGCATCACCTTTAAATTATTGAAACTCCCAAAAATATCAAGATTAAAAATTATTTTGAAAAATCAATCTTGATTTTTTAATATTAATTTAATCTGCACGGATACATTTTGTACTTTGCATGTTTAGACATTAGTAGCCTTCATTACTATCAAGGATGGCACGACCCAATCCAAATCAGAGATCGAAGATTTTCTTCAAAGGGCAATACCGCCCTATATGCTACCAGAAATTGTTATTGTTGATCATATACCACTTCTAACTAATGGGAAAACGGATCGACAGACATTGCTAAAGAAATATGAATTATCTTGCTCTAATGACGGTATGTAAAACCAATAACTTTGTATCGTTCTGTTACGTAAAACATGTACTGTTATATGTCGTAATCTCTTCGAGATTAAGTAACGTGTTGAAATACATATTAATTAGTTCATTATAACTTATACTTTGATCATGTACATGAAACTATTTTATCTTTTACACAGAAAAATGGAAATTTAAAACTACAAAACTATGTGAAACTATGAAATGTGTTATGAATCTATCAAGAAAACCGGTTTATGAATATTTATTTCCTTCCTTTCTATTTTAACATGGATCGCTCCTTATATAAGACTAGAATAATCTTTCTAATCGTTTCTACTATATAAGCTAATTAAATAAAATGTACAATCAAAAGGAATTTATTTTGTTTCATGTTTTATTTCTTATTAAGTATCCATACAGCACACATCTCCAAAAAACGTCTTAAAGACGTCCAGAGAACGTCCTTCAGATAAAGTGTGCTGTTTGGGTAATTAAATTTTGCGTATTTAGCAACAATTATTCTTGCATTACAATTAATAAAAGAAATTAAAAAAAAAAAAGAAATTTCAATGTTTTCAAACTTATAATCTTTCCTTTTTAGAAATTAAAAATTCAAACGTTTAAAATAAATTATAATCTAATGTCTTTTAATTATAAATAAATAAAAGAATCCAATTCATTTTTAACTCAAAAACTCTAGTCTTTCTGACTAAGCTCAAAAATTTTGTTCCACAGAAGACAACATTGCTACGAATTGCGACTACAGCGGCGTGCCAAGTCAAGATCTCGCAAAAGCCCGTGTCCTCTTTCCGACTATCGCGTCCGTAATCGGACGTAGTGGACGCGCGCCGGTAACGCTAAACGCGAATTTCTACGATCTTGGTGGAAATTCCTTGAATTCCATTTATACCGTGACCAAGTTAAGAGACCAAGGTTATCAGATCGGTATCACGGATTTTATCACGGCGAAAAGTCTATCCGAATTATTAGACCGGATGAAGCTCATGTCGTCCGACGAGGAACCCTTGAAAGAAACCATCGACCAGAAGCCATACGTCTTTGAATTATTGAACGACTGCCATAAGGAGGACGCGATCGAGTAAGTTTTGTGCAAAACTAAATTTCGAACTCGTAACAATTGCTGTCATATACGCGTGAAATGATCAGGATGAATATTTATTGAAATTTGCAGAATAATCACAGAGAGCTTTTATTCAAAGGCCGATTTGGAACAGTGGTTAATACCGGATATAAAGAGAGACGATTATCGGGAACTAATGGAGGCCATGTGGAATTCTTCCGTGGAGAAGAATCTTAGTTTCGTGATTAAGTCGGTACAGAGCGGCAAAATAATCGGGGTTACTCTCAACTTTGATGTTTGGGACGAGCCCGAAGTGGTACTGAAATCTAAGTTAATGATCATTTTCGATTTCCTCGAATATCTTGAAGGACCGATCAGAGATCACAAATTACCAAAGGGCAAAGGTCAGATCATTCACACTTCCATGATGGGGACGAATAGCGACTTGAATCCCGCCGAGAACGTACTTGTAATGAGACAAATGGAGGAATACTGTTTGCAACTCGCCAAACAGAAAGAGTACGCCGGAATTTTCACCACAAACACCAGTCCACTCACGCAGGTAAACAATAAACCTAATCTTTTGATAACGGCTAATAATGCAGAAAGTACTTATATAAATATACACAATTTTGTAAAATTCTTGACTTATATATTATATATTTTTTTACATAAACTTTAGCAACTTGGTACGGACGTGTACGGTTATGAAACAATGCAAATATATCAAGTGAATAAATACGAGGCACCCGATGGAACTAAACCTTTTGGCAAAGCTCCTGATAATCAAGTGGTAATTTGCTCATTGAAGATGATCAATTAAAATGATTTTAGTAAATAGTGTAAAAAGAAAGTATTACTTATTAAATAGTATTAAATGCGGCCTTTCATCGATGCATCTGTGATTATTAATAATCTATTAATTTCAAAACTATTTTCTAGAAACATTAATAACAGAAATTTTATAATCACACGATACTGAACAATTATCTACACTGGTTGTCAAATGTAATGACTATTATTTAATTCTTCGTTATTGTTTCTCTGTTTTTCATAGGAAATCTTTAAGATTATATACTTTAGTCTAAGAATCTATCTTAGCTATTTATTGATATGATTAAAATATGTTAAAAATATTATTTATAGCAGACTTAGGGCAAAATTTTTTTTAATTATTTTTAAAATATTAAAAGCGCACTATTAAGATTATTTCCATATAATAATTAATTTTTAATTAAAAATATTAAACAAAAAGTATTGTAAGTGAAAAGTATTATGAAGCAATGAATTTGTGATAAATTATAAGTTATTCATCAACATAACGTTATTTAGATTATAGAATTCATTGATATATTATAATACAAAACACGAATTGTAGTCATTTCTTTTATTTAACATAAAACACGGTAAGTTTAATAACAGAAATGATAATTTGGTAATTGCTAAATAGAAACATAAGTGATATAATAAACTTGTAAATATCTTTTTGTAAATACATAATATTATATACGATTATATGTGTAATAATTGTGTGTAATAATTGTAGCAACTACAAATGTTACGATAATTTGTAAATATTATATAATAATTTAAATAAGCGGAACGCGGAAAAAGTTTAATAAACAATAAAGGCGCTCAAATCCAACGTAATAATTTGTACAAATTTACTGAATCCTGATAAGTCACGGTTCAACATGCAATATGTTATAAAATCGGAGTATTGCAAAATCGTTAAAAGGATAAATATGACATATTTAAGCAAAATAATATATAAGTATATATATAAATAGAATAATAAAATAGATAAAAAATTTATCTGTAACTGCAGTGCAATCTATTACATATATTTATTCAACTATATATTCGTTCATTTAGAATTTTTGTTTTAATTATTAAATAATATCGCAAATTATTCAACACAAACAATTCAATATCATCAGTTATATATTAAATGTTAATTAATACTAATATATTATATTAGTCGATAGAATTATTTATTAGTATTTTTTTATAAATAATATATAGCTAAGATGCAGCCATAATAACATCTGTATGTTATTTATTAAATAAATAAATTTCAACTTTACGATAAATATGAATGCATGAATTATTTCTTACAAAAATATGTATAAATATAAATTCTACTACTATTAAATAAGTGGGAGAGAGAGAGAGAGAGAGA